CCACCCACCCACGCACGCACGCACCCACGCACGCACGCACGCACGCACGCACGCCAAGTAAAATCATGTAAAATCAGAATGCGCCAGAACTGGCAACTTCAGCAACTGAAGTGGAGTAGATATGGAAGAACATACGAAAGGACCTAAGGCTCAAGGAGCTTAGGGATCATATTCATGTCATATCATTTGGCTGCTCTACTCATATAGTTTTGATGAGTGCCTGCGTTTAACACTGCACGTTGGAATCGTTGCCCATGTGACAAAGGGTAGACTACTGTTGCACATGTTAACACAAATGGGTCAGCCGTGTACAATAAAAGTCCATTCTCAGGACTTGGTGGTTCACCTTTAGAATCACCCCTATGAATCCAGAAACGAAAGCTTTCAAAGACACTCCTTGCGGAAGCTTGCGGCAGGTTGTGCTACTCAGGTCAAGTGGTATAGCACGGCATTACTCGAACTCCGCAAAGGCCCGGCCTCATCAAACAACTCTTCGGCCAACTGCCCACGGCCTCCGTCCAGTCCATCTTACACAGGATGTTCCTATCTTTTTGCAATGGTATCCTGATTCGTGAAAACCCTTGTTGATTCTTCCCTTCTGAGTTTTTTTGCTTTGGTGAGCTCGTTCGAAGCTTGACTCCCGCACGCGTAAAACGGACTGCTTGTCCTTTTGTTTTGCTGCCCAACATGCTGCCCGCACTTTCAACGCATATATAATCAGTGACATGTAAGTGTGAGCAGAACTGATGGCAGCATGAGCAATGTTGAAGACAATGCAAAGTAAGATCACAAGGTCTTGAGGCCAAGACCAGCACCCCTTATTGGTGGTACCATGTGGTACCCAACCAATGTCACAGTCGAGATTTATATCCAGGGAGATTTGGTTCCCCCTGACTCGTTTGCATCGATGTTTAAAGACATGAGATGATGCTAAAGACATGATGCTGCTTGGAATGTGTAGTGGCAAAAGTGAAAAGCACAAAGGGCCTTGGATATGTCCTTCCGACTGACTGCATGCCCCACCCGGCTCTCGTTTCCAAAGGCCATTTCGAGACCGCGAGCATCTCGAGCTCCAGCATCTGAGGCATGTGCCACTGTGGGCTCAGCGTAGCAGTTCTGAGATCACCCTTGCCAAACGCCTTCGTTTGGAGCTGGCCATTCGCTTGGCAGAATGCAGAGGCCAAGTTTGAATTCAGATGTTTCGTGTCAGTAGTTTGACCGGATGTTCCGGCATGAAGGCAGCATTCCCCCTCACATTTTTTGGTGGACATGCAGGTGAAGGGCAGGATAGACAAGTTGCTCGAGAGCAATCATAAGCTACATATATATATATATTCATATGTTGCATTGATCACTTTGTCATGTGTAACAATGCTGGAATCAAATCATTCGAGAGAAAACTGGCGTGCCCTGTGCCCTGTGCTACGATGATCCCCATCCCTGTAGAGCCTCGTGGGAGCTGTTTTGATACACTTTTGGGACTTTTACTTCAGGCAGCCCCAAAAATTGTTGTTCATACAGCCTAGCTGAACTTTGCAGATGGCGATGGAGGGAGAGAGAGAGAGAGAGACAGCTTTGACGAAGAGCGCCGTCCCTCAGAGTCCAGTTTGGAAGCTGCTTTATGTCACAGGAGATGTCACTGACTTTATGACATCTTTTGCGCTCAAGAAGTGCCTTGATGCACGCACGGCTTTGAAACTCAGCTCGTGGCAGTCGGGGGTTGAGTTGGAAATCCATGCGAAATGTGCAGATCCTTAAGAGACAGCAAACATAAACAGGAAGGTCTTAGAATCCGGGGCAGGCAGTGCAGAATTAATGTAGCAGTTGTATCAGAGGGGACCATTTCTACAGATTGTGCGAGGACATTCTTCCGGTTGCTCCGAGATGCTGTGCGTCAAGGAGAGCAACGATTTTCTTTGGATGATATTAGCACAAGTGCCACGGCTGCAAGCGGTACATGTAAAAGCTCTTGCCATTGAGCCGTTCTCCCCTGCATTTTCCAATGGCACGTAGTCACACAGCAATTTCGTTAGGGAAGGTACACTAGCCACTAATTATCACTAATTAATTAGTCACTATTCATAGAGGTCGAGCGAGAGAGAGAGAGAGAAAAAAACAAGATAAGGAGTCAGAAGGAGAGAAAGCAATGCACCATAATGTGGACTCATCATTACTGTAATGGTTCTGGTTTGCAACAATATCTATATTTGGCGGGGTTCTCATAAGGGAGCTGTCCCGAAGACTAAACCTCTTCATCAGGAGAGATCCCAAAGACTAAAGGTCTTCATGAGACGATTCCAAAGAAGCATAAACACATGAATGAAAGGACCTATGAAGTTGAAGATTTAATCAGAAACAATAAGGAAGAGGGAGGGAGGGAGGGAGGAAGGAAGGAAGGAAGGAAGGACACCAAATTAATTGGAGAGTGGTTATGAATAGAGGGTTTCTGGGAGAACCCCCTTTGCGAGTTTGATAAACAATTTGAGATATATAATATATATAGAGAGAGACATATGATATAATAATTTGATATATACATATATGTGTGTGTGTTTTGGGTGCTTTTGGGAATTCTGGATGATTTTGTGGGAACAACTGAAGGTGCGTTTTCAAGACATGAAACTGAAACTTTTGTTGTAAACAATATACTCAAGTTATGCAATGACAAGTTGCAAATTATGCTGATTCCTATGTCCTGCCAATTTATTACGCTGTCAAGTTTGGTAAAAGTTGCATCCGGCTGGAGTTCCAGATGTTTCTTCTTTTTTTTGTGGGTAAGAAGGGAAATGCAAAGAGGCAGTTGAATGAATGTCACCTGGGGGAGAAAACTGCCACAGGCATGAGCAAACGATGAGCCAGCAAGAGCAAAAGGTGTCTTAGATAGGGTTTGAGAAGACATGGGAGCATTGAGTTAGACAAATAGTTATATAATTACATTTATATGCGTGCATGTATGTACACATCTACATATATATAGTATATTATAGTATATTGTTAATTAAGGATGCAATGACCGACGGCCCATAGTTAGGTTTTATCCAACTAACTACTTGTCAACAAAGACTTGCCAATGAGAAACACTTGGCTGAAGTTTCTGGGCACCCAATTGGCCAGCAGGATGTTTGAAAGGCGGCTAGCATTGCAGGAGCAAATGCCAAACTAATAATACTGTAAACAGGGGGTTCACAGTGGGGTTCCCCAATCAGGTGTCAACATCAAAGTGAACCGGTTGACTTCATTTCCATTTTTGGCCTCGACCTGTGGGAGTCATCCTGCATTTTCCTCTCGAAGGACTCAGACGGCGCTCTTCAACTGCCATTGAAAATTGGCAAGTCAAGTTCCATCGACGAATCATAGCGTTTTTCATCGTTGTCCATTCATACATAAATCTCGCAGGTTGCCAGGATTTGTGCTTGTTGGCTCACTTGCGCCATGCTTTTGGCTCCTTCGTGGCTGCTTGTTGATGGATGTTGTTAACACTCTGAGGTGAGGAGAGCTGTTTGTCCACACTAGCACAGCGACGGTCTGTACATCGGCGGAGGGCATCAGATGATAGTTCTGAGGAAGGTCGGAGCATTCTTTCCGATTTGATTGAGACTTTGGATCAACAAAGCAATTCATTGGTCACATATCGATGGCGGTTGGCCATGGATTCTTTTGGGAAAACTTCAACCATTGGCTCTGTCAGGTCTGGAGGGAGGGAGAGATTTCTCTGACTCTGAGCTTTCTGGTGAAGAGGCACCAGAGAAGGAACCACAGCTGCAGGTCACACCACAACTTGCAGATTTGGGCCACGTGGCTTCATTTGGAGCTTGAACCCGAAGGCTCTGAGGACTCACTGGGGACTCAAGTATGCTCGAACCACTTTTTTGGTAACGTGCAGTTCTGCCGTGAAGTATGCTTTGGCTTCGACCACTTGGTGCTACCAGGTGTGGAGGCCACAACCGAGGAGCTCAAGACTGAGTGGTATCCATCACACCTCTGGGAGACAGAAAGCTCTCATGTGCTCCCAGGCGAGGTGTTTGATCAACCAGCATCAACCAGTAGAACTTGAACTCAGAAGTTCAATTGAAATGCATTGAATAACGTTAATACTAAAATGCCATGTGTCTTCAAGCGGATAAAATATTGGATTGAGAGTGTGAGCCTTGGGAATGGTGCATCGCTTCAGGAACCCCCGGCTTCAACAGGCGAGCAACCAATGCAGCTCAGTGATCAAGTCCCTGTCAGTGCATTGTTTGAATTGTATTCAATGTTTTTGACACCTAGTTCTCACGTCGTTTCCCGTGTCCCCACAGATCCTGTAATTGTGGTTCTGCGCATCTGCGCAACTTGCATGAGCAGTCTAGACAACCGGTGCTCTTGGGTAAACCAGAGAATAACTTGCCTACGCATGACAAACACCAAAGATACAAACAGGAGATCAAACGCTCACTAGCATCAACCATTGCTTGTGTGCTGCTACAGAAGATACGCATACTGTAGGTGTGAATAATATATATATATGTGTGTGTTGCTGCTACCTACATTGTTACATAATCCTTGGCCAAGACATTGCCATCCTGTCAGTTGCATCATTGTGTTTGTTTTTTTTTTTCTCTGTTACGCCTTTCATAGACATGCACTTAGAACATCATCCAATCATCAAGCGAACCTGCTTTTATCGAAGCGCAGTCCACGGGACAGCTTTATGCCCAGGTCCTGCGGCGAGCGGGTCTTGGCCAACCGCCAAGTCAGAAGAGCGACTCAAGACCGTTGCAACCGCACCAGGAGCCGTCCAGCGTTTGAGCAGCATGCACCTGCTTATAAGGGTGGTGTGTGCTAGCTGCTAACTATTCACTTGTCAATTCACGATTTGACAAAACATCAACATGTCAGAAGATCCGGAAGCATTGGTGGTGGAGGTAAAATCTGACACTCAAGCATGCTGACATGAAGGGGTGATTCTATTGTGTTGGGGTCTTGTCAGGAAATCGTTCGTTTCCTCGTGCACCCTGCAAGCCCTGTCCAACGATTGCTGGTGGATCACCCGACTGGATCTGGAAAGACAAGAGAGATGGTCAGCATTCTTGAGAACTTCTTCTACGACCAGCGCCCCAAAATAGCAATTTTTCCAAAAGCCGCCATTTGCAGCTCGGCTTTGCATAGTCAGCCCTGGCAGCACATGTTCAAGGTTCTTCATTCATGGACCTTACGTTACCCAGGGACCTTCCTACATAGCTTTGAAGATGGCCTAGACAATATCCTCTATAAAATGGCCAGGGTCAAGGCGTTTCATAAAACGTTTTATGACCCCCCCCCCCTGGGGACGTTAGGCCCTCATTTTATAGAGGAAAACGTGTTTTTTCAGTGTGTGTTGCAGAATTGAGATGAGCATCGCGCGCGCCGGTGAGTACCAGATTTCTTGGTTGTAAGAATTCCTTGAAAATACTACAAGAAAGAAAACAGAGAGAGACCCAAAAATTATACTGGTCAGAAAGCATGTGCACAAAGAGAGAGGCAAAATACAGACAAGAAAACACAACAAGATTGAAACAAAGCACTTTGACTTGCATATTTCAGCTGCTTGGGGCGATGGCGCCTAAAAAAAACAAAGCGGACCCGGATCCAGCAGAGCTTCCATCTGGATGCCCAAAGACTTGCGTTCCTCGTCCAAGATGTATTCTGATATGAACTTTTTGATGGTACAGTTGATTTTCATAGGGTATGCACACGCAATTCTGGTGTGAGCAACGATCTGAGGGAATCAAAACATGCATCGAGGAGATGAACGAACCATCCTGGAGTTCAAGGCATAACCTTTGGGGCAGCTAGGGTGCATGTTAGATCGTCTCAGCATTTTTATGTACCTCTATATATGACTATAATATACTATAATATATAATTCATGATGTTTTACATTTTTCCTGCCGCGCCCCGCGCCAAGTTGCGCGATGCAAACTATGGTCTGGGCGAGCATCGTGGCACTACACCTACTGGGATAAAGATTTGTGCCAGTGGTTGCATGTGGTCAGAATTTTGCCCTTTGAATCATTGTGAGAAATGATGCACAATTTTAATATTTTCCTTAGCAATGTTATGCAATGTTCATCGCATTGCATACGATTTCAAGGGAAGCTTGGATGTGGACAAATGAGATTAGCCGCTTGAAGGACTGTGTGATGAGTGAGGGGATTTCAATTAGCTAGACTATGTTACAGTACAAATTCAATCTGATTTTGTGGAAGTGGAGAAACACCAAACATGTGACACGTGATGCAGCGCCAGGACAGGAAGACTGACATGGGTCCTGTGAAGATAGAGAAGACGGAGACGAAGAAATCGCCAGCCACGCCCTCAACAACAATATGTGTGGCATAGATTCTGTGTGCGTTTTCGCAGTGTGCTCACGATGAATTTCAGATGATTTCAGAATCTTTCCTACACTTAACGTGATTTTTGCATATTTTTGCAGACAAACCTTTCTTGCTGGCCCCGCCCCGCGTGTTCGCCGTGATCTAACGTGGAACAGAGAGCCATGGGGAAACATGTCGATGATACCGCCACCGGAGTTGAAGAAAAGCGGAGTCTTGGCTAGAAGATGCTAGAATATGCTAGAAGATGCTATGAGTAGGACAGGGAAGGCAGAATCCAAGGGATCCTATTTAACATGGCAATATAATAATGCAAAAACTATCTCTATAAAATGACTAGTCCTGTCCCATAGCAACCAGATAAAATGATCTTACATGATCTTACGTATTCAATGACGGAACAACACAATGAGCGATCTAAAGCCAATTGAAATATGTGCAGCTACAGGGTCTGGGATGCTCATTTTATAGGGTCCATCTCTTATTGCACCGAGGTGGTTCAAAGCAGAATGCCATTTCCAATTTCTGCTGCAATTTGCATATCAATTGGCATCAGACAGTGGCTGGGCTGGACTGATTCACAGGAATTCATATTAGTATGCGAGGAGTTTTTCGTGTCGCTGTCCTTGCCACTTTTGGCTGTTTTGTGATTATTTTGGATCTAAGTGACCCCGGAGTATCATTGCCTTGATTGCTTTGGTTTCTCCTGTTCTGTGGCGTCTCTGGGCTTTGCATTTGAGGGGCTGAGACGTTTGAAATCATTTGACAACAGTTGAAAAGTTTGAAGGCCTTGCCAACAGTTGAATAACGTTGGAGATATATACTTGGCTGAGGTCGTGCTGGGAACGAGCAAATTACAAGGCCTTGGCGTACGATATTCAACTCTGCCCTGCGCGCGATGCGACCACTTGGGATGGGGTGGTGACACTTCTGACTTTTATGTTCTCGCCTTTTGACGAACACGCATATTTTTTAATGTTTGTTTAGTGCTTGTGTAACGTTTGGGGCGGCTTTCATACGTTTCATTACGTTATATTACGTTTCATATCTTATTTTTGGAGCCTTTTTCTGTGGCACCAAGGCTTCTACCTGGGGCCATGGTGGCTGCAGGGCCACCTTGCTCCTTGTTTGTTGGTGCATGCCAATCAGTGCACCAACGCTGCTTGGGCAACCCTTGGGGAAACATTACCAATTTCAAGGTTCGGCTGGCTAATCGAATCTGGCAAAACTTCTGCGTCATCCTGAAGGTTGTTGGGAGGCTGACTTGAAGAATTCTGTCATACGATGTCAGATGTCATATGCTTTTTGATGCTTTCGCCTTGAATCCATGGTGTTTCCGTGTTTGATTTTGGAGTTTCTTAGGCGCCAGATGTTGAAACAGTTTGTGTTGGCCAGGGTCCGGAACGACCTCAAGGTGATGATTGAGCAGCCCTCTTCCAGTTGGGCGTTCAAACTGCCATGCATGAGGGAATTGATTAAGCAGTGGCAGATGTGCCTTGGCATGTCAACTCAGGGTGCTTTCGTTGCCTTCGTTTTTGGATGTTTTTGGAATTTGTATGAATTTCTGGAGCCGCGTCAGTCAGGACGAAGGTGACCAGCTGGATGGGCATGTTCTCTCATGACCTTTTGAAATGCAGCCATCTACTTGTGAACTGGAGGACATTTGATGTGGAAAAGTTTGTGAACAAGAGCTGAAAAGTGTGTGTACATGTCCAGTAAGATGCTGTGACATCAGGAGTGGAGAAAATCTTCGTCGAACGATGACCAAAAAGGACAGAGCACGCATCAAGGACCGCTTGCAGTGCTGAAAGTTTGAAGTGATGTCAATTACAATATCATGTTGAATATTGTTGAATTATTTGATATGTTTTGCATTTTTTTGTGGTATGTTGTGCTCGAGGCCCGCTTCGAGAAGAGACAGCAGAAGCGCAAAGTCAAGAAGGCTAATGTCTTTTTTAAAATCGGTTTCCTGTAGCCTTTACAATACTTGACTTTGCATCTCGTGTGAAAATTCACTGTTTCTTCTTGACTCTGGCAGGTCTACTACATCCAGCAAGACGGATCGTGGTCGGGAGGCAAGCACTTGGCCGGCAGTGCTGCATACACCGGCCATTTTTGCTTGGCGTTGCTGCGTTCTTGGAAGGGCTTCTCGAACAGAATTCATATGAATTCTTCTCACCTGACATTGGTGAGATCATGTGAGATCAAATGATTACATGGTGATAGATTTGTCATGTCTTGGTGAATTTTTGTATGTGATTTTGCACCTGTCAATCTCCAGCCTGCCAAGGAGACTGAGAACACGAATGCAATCGTTTGTGAACTGCGCCAAGATGCTGATGTGTTCATAGATGTTCATAGATATCCATAGATCATCGTAGATCTGTTTCCAATTGTTTCCAGAGTCCAAAGTGTCTGCCTTGCCTAAACGGTTGGCAGTTGATGACAGACTGTTTTCATGGGTCACATGAGAACAAAAGCTCGTGGCACAGAATACGCTTAGAAACGTTTTGACATTTTTTGCAATACATTTTGTATGGGGATTCTTTTCTGAACGGGCATTGGCCGTTGCAGCCTGCTACATCCCTTATCATCACTTTGAGCGCATCTCGTTTCCAGTGTAGTTTCCTGAGGCGCCGCCTGGGGAAAACGCGTGCGCAGGTGAAGGCCTGGTTGTGCCTCATTCATCCTGATTTTATCATATTCTATCTATCTACATCTATCTACTACTCTATCTACTATTATTTGTTGTTTATTTTTTATTCTATTTTTGTACAGGGGGTCTAGCGCAATCATTTTATAGAGAACGCGTTTCAAAATGTTTCAAGGGATACAGTATCACCAGATTTGATGTCAGGAATTGCTGATGCTTCAAGCCGTGAAGGACCTTCACCCTCCACATCTAGTTTTCATTTTATGATAATAGGGGTGGTCAAGCGCATTCATTTTATAGAGAAGGGTTTTCAAACATTTGGAATATACGGTATATGGCTGTATACAGTATATAAATATATACGATAGCTCATATTATATGATGTACCTTCGTAGATTATAGATGAGTTTGGTAAATTATCTTCCACATTCTTCCACCGTGTGAACTGTGAGGAGATCTGGGAAAGAGCGTGGGTGATGCAGCTTATCCCAGGCGCCCGATTCCGTGGAAGAAAACGGAGGTTGCGTGTCCAGTGGATGTCAAAGGGCCCGCAGCTACCTCGGAGACGGCTTCTCTATCAGCGGAGGTTGGTGTAAGCCCGCCTGCAGATGCGAATCAGGCAGCTTGTGAACCGGCAGCGGCCGAGCTGCCCTTGCCGGAGGTTGCGCCAAGCCCAGCAGCGAAGGTTGAAAGGCCTGTAGATGTGCAGCAGCCGGCTTCTCAACCGGCAGAGACTCCTGCGCCCTTGCCCAAGGCTGCAGATGTGCAGCAGCCGGCTTCGCAAGCGGCAGAGACTCCTGCGCCCTTGCCCGAGAAAGCAGGGAAGGTTGAAAGGCCTGTAGATGTGCAGCAGCCGGCTTCGCAAGCGGCAGAGATTCGCGCGCCCTTGCCCGAGAAAGCAGTGAAGGTTGAAAGGCCTGTAGATGCGAAGAAGCCGGTTGAAGTCCAGAAG